CGTAATGCGAATTTTCAGGGTACAAAGTACAAGGTTCATGTTCAGATTTGTATAAAAGAAAATTCAATAAAATCAATAATTATTATACCTAGTACCCGAAGCGAAGCGAGGGCGCTCGACGGCGCGGCGAGTCGCTAGTATGATAATAAAATATTGTAACACCTACCATGTAAACAGACCACGACACATGTAACAGCGAGGCGGACACGATTAGATCCACATGTGCAACCTAACCTTATGCTCGTTGTTATCATTTTACAAGTTCCGTCTCGTCGTGAGCACCACGCGGCCGAGGCACCTGCCTCCCTGTAGACAAGGCTCCAGAGGAATGTTAGACATGTAGACCTGCAGACCGGACGCCAGGGACGCTCGTCTCTGAGGAAAGCAGAGCCGAGCACTGGATTTAATATTAATAGAGTTTTATGAAGAAGAGGGACCCCGCTGTTACGCTGCGAAGGGGAATCCTCTTATCCGCAGGCGTCAATCATTATTTATTTAACTTACAAACTTTCGCGAGAAAAATTCTTACGATATTATGTTAAGGTCGTGTCTACACTGTCTGTGTAATATTATTGTTAAGTCCTCACGTAGCAGGAGCTCGGTCTCCGTCGCTGTGTGTTTGTGTGTTTGTGTGTAGCTTCCAAACGGGAGGTCGATCTAAAATTGGTTCGAAATCAAATTTAGTGAAATCGTATCTCGACTGTATTTATGAAGTCTTGTCCCATTATTTTAGCTGTTGTAGTGGTAGCCATCATAGAAAACAAGATATTTGACAGATGCCTGAATCTCTCGCACGACATTTTCAAGTTAAGCTCGCATATATACAAGTTCCGAACAGCAACATTCGGACCGTCGCGTCGGTCTACCGCTCGGTGGAAGCTCTTCCTTTTGTCGTAAACCTACACTTTCAAGTAGGAGTGAAGATTTCAGAAATAGGCTGTACTACTGATGACTCCTAATGACTTCAATATTTCAAATACTAAAAGTAAAAGGAACACGTTGACTTAAATGAAGCCTTTTTTTTAACGCCGGGGAATCCATTTACGGATACCCGGTCGAGGGGTTTATGTCGGACTCCGGCGCGTCCAGAGAAGAAGAGAGAGAACAGGAGAACGGGGTCCCCCTTTTCTTCCAATTCCTGCCGAGAGACTACGCCTTGAGAAAGGCGCGCGAGGCTCTGCACGACGTCAGCCACGCAAGAGCTACCCCGCAAAACCGACTACCGACTAAACCTCATCGAGACTTAAATGAAGCCTAGCTCACTAAAATGAAATAAACGTTTCCAAAAGCATTACAATTCACAGAATTTGAATTACGATCCTTAGTTAGAACAATAATGCCCCGGCGCGCGACCCACAGCACACGGCGCCCCCTGCCGCGTCGCCGCGCTCCGGGATAATGTCACAGGTTCGAGATCAGGACATAGATATACTCACGAAAGTGAAAGTTGGGAGTGGTGTTCATAAGTCTCATGATTAGCAACCTGATATCAGTGTTTGTACTTTACAACCCCTTCTGCCTCCAGCCATACAAATTACCAAGGAGCCCGTATCTCATGTTGTAGTAATTTTTCGTGTTATTTCCCAACGAAGCCCTCAATTTAAATCGTATTCCGATGCACCAAGTCGCACTGCTCTCTCAGACGATTGACAGGAGACTGTAGGCCAAACCAAAACAGCTCGTCTGTCNCAACCTGATATCAGTGTTTGTACTTTACAACCCCTTCTGCCTCCAGCCATACAAATTACCAAGGAGCCCGTATCTCATGTTGTAGTAATTTTTCGTGTTATTTCCCAACGAAGCCCTCAATTTAAATCGTATTCCGATGCACCAAGTCGCACTGCTCTCTCAGACGATTGACAGGAGACTGTAGGCCAAACCAAAACAGCTCGTCTGTCCATGCGTATTTTATTGGAAATATTTAAACACCGGCATGTCCGCGCGCGTCGCTCGCCGTTGTCAAATTATTATTGGAGAACGAGGTTCGGTCCTCGGTCGTGAAACTCATCCGAGGATCTAAACGTTGACGGGTATGGCGCGTTGAAGCTATTGCGGGCTGCCTGCTCTGAGTGTTTAAGGTTGGACCGTATTTCTAGCGAAAGCTTTGTCCATCCACCATCATCATTATCTATATAATGATGATGGTTTATGATCGTGAGAAGGGTAATGGCCGATGTAAATGTCGCTATTTTCAAAGAAATGAAAACATTCTAATACATTTTGTGTGTGTGAACGGTGCCTAAATCGTATTGATCCAGAAATCCATTGGACGCGCTAATAGCCTGAGAGATCTCTCGAGACTCCCAGAAACCAAATGTATTGTTCAACAATACATTATTATCTGATACATAAACAATCCGACGTATGGACGCACACGCCTCGCCCAGGGGACGATGTCCCTCCAGCTTTCTGCAAGTTCACCTCCGCGACATCAGTGCTTGCTGTGTTGACATCGGCATATATGTACATACATATGTAATAAGGAACGATAGTTATTTGAGCATAAACAAAGTAAACAAGCGTTACACGTTCTCGCAGCCGGGCCGCAGCCGGGCCGCAGCCGGGCCGCAGCCGGGCCGCAGCGGGTAACGTAGGCGGATAAAGCTTACGATATTATGACTCTATCCTTATAGTTGCTGATAAATCTGAATTCTGTCCTCAACAGAATGAGACATTCTGAAAAGTTTAGTAATCGTATAGTAATCAAAAAAGCAGTCAACCTGCCTGCAGTCAGCCTGGCATGCACTTGTCCTGTCTCCTCACAGGCTCGAACGTTAATAGATTCTAAGGAAGCACGGATAAAACTCTCTTTAGTACATGGTGACTGGGCGCACCCGTGAGTGTGTGTGTGTGATCACTCGGAAGCAATATAATCCAGGTGAATTGAAGGCTTACGTTCTCAATTTCGCGTGGAGGACCTGGCAGCGCTCAAGACGCACAACAATATAATTATTTCACTTAGTTGCGTCGGCAGGCGTGGGGGCGCCGTCTCGTTGTGCCCTCAACTTCACATAGCTCACGGCCTTTAGTTATGCTAATAAATATCTCAAGTTTACCTCAAAGTCTCCGATTAGGAGCCGCAGTGATTCCCAGAATAACAATTGTGTAATATATTCAATCTGCAGGTATTCTCGGAATCTCGGCAATAGAGTAGGTTTGGAGAAGGGAATATTAATGAGCTGAAAATATGAATCCATTAGCAGCGTGTGTAGCCCGGCCCAGAGACGACGGCTCCGAAACGGATGACTTATTTACAAACATATTCTGACGTCCTCACAGCCGGCCTGCTGACACAGCATCGGTTACGTCAATAGTCTACACTAAAACGACCCAGACACAGTCTCTTCTCAGGTAGAGACCGTGCATCACAATGTTTTCAAACAAGGTCATTGTTCTAATAGTTATTGTTTTATATTTTTTGATTGTCTAAACATGGCGTCATGTCGTTTGAGGAGACAATTAGGATTACATCTCATGTATTCGGGTGTTGTGGTAGAATTAGAGCAGTTTGATAAACTAATGATGTCACTGATGTCGGTAGCGCCGGTAATATTCTGCCGGGTGCGATGTGCGACTGGTTACTACAGATATACATAACATATGTATATATACAAGAGCCATACAGCTAGCGTGTCTTATCTTATCATGTTAATTATATAAGCATTCGGTGTCATCTTCGTCCCCCAACTGCTGCCCCACATCTACAAACACGTTAAAGTGTAAGAGGCTGTGGACACTTGCTATCCGTTACCTGAGTGGTCGCTATCGTTGCCAACTGTTAGCACTCAGTATGCGTTGCGGTGCTTACAATTTTTACTTGCAAAGCCCGCAAGATGGATCATTAGCTAAGTTCAATGTTCAGAGGTACTACGTATAAGTAAACTCCCAGGGAGCTATCCCAGCTGAGTTTTGCAAAACATGCATATCGCTTCAAGGTATCCCATTAAGGTGAAGTCCAAGTCTCGAATGTGACTGTCATGGTCAGTGAATTCAGTAATTATTGCTTCGTGGATAGGCACATAGGATATTGTTACTTACCGGTGCCCTCACAACGAAACTCATCAGTAGGGTTCATGGTTCTACTTGTGGCTGACGGAGATACCTTTTTATGATTGAAAGATTACTGGTGGCCCCAAGGCCTTTCCAGTTTCACCAGGACAGGTGGGCGAGCAAAGGCTCAGCCAGGAGGGGTGGGATTTGCGAACAACTGCCCGAGCGCCTCCGAAGGAGACCTATCAACTAGAGCAATTGCTTCGCGAATGAATCTACTACCGGATCGGAATCGCGACCCGCTGAGAAGATCCGGCGAGAAACTCAGCGGGCTGATGCATGGGTTAGGTTGCACGTCGAACTCTTTGTCGAGTTCGACGAGTACGGTTACCGAGGTCCCTAAGCCTGCTCCTACTGTTAGAGCTGAAGGTATCTAATGCAAGAGTTACGGAGATACTTCTTCACTCTCTCAGTCAGAAAGGCCCATTTTTAACCTGCTAAATGAAAGTGAGCGCTATCGTCAAATGCAATTATAACTGGTACAAGCTGCAGACCAAGTCGAAATTAAGTTACGCACTTAGTGCTCAAGTTAAAGAACTCAGTAATTCATTTAATTTAGTTGCAGTGTAACTGAATATTAGTAGGTACCTACCTCTAACTAGTTTACGTTTGCAAGTTTTACATTCAGTTTAAATTTTAGAATTTGTACATTTCTACACTTGAATAATTCATTAAGTGATTTAAACTAGTCTTAATGTGATAAATGCCTTAAGTGTTAAAGTCTTGGTTATGCGAGTGCATGAACTCCTCTCCGACAGTCCACCGTTGGTCTCTGATCGACTGCCTGACAGTTTCGTGGCATTAACAAGCAGGACAGTGGTGCCCGTTTGCACTGGCTCACATGACCACGGATGACTATACTATCGTTTCTCCTTGATACATTCTCTCACCAAACCAATATATCATTGCTATGTTTCCGCAGGGAGTCCACAAAGACACAAGAGTAGCGAAAGGTCACATCGACAAAGAGAACCACCTGGGGAAGTACAACGACCAAGGCGGCGTGGACAAGCACCACCACGACGAGACCGGGCACTACGGCGCCCACCACCACGAGGAGCATGGGAAGAAACAGGCTAAGGTATGTTCTAAATTATCACTTTGGAATTGAAAATATAGTCTTTTCCGGTGCTTGCGAGTCGAAGACAGAACTAAAATTCTAACGGCTAAACTAAAGTAAAACGGCTCACCCTCACCGGGTCAGTCGCCGGGCGGTCCATTAGACCCGCGTTATGCCTTTTAAACTTCAGAAATAATTTACCGGCATTAGTAAACGTAAAACTAAGTTATCTGAACAGTTTTATTGATGAGCATCATTCTTCATTGAGATTTTATTTATTTTATTTGGAAGACAAACAGTGTACTTAAACTATATAAAGTCTAACCTTACAACTCAGCACCATTTAAATGTCTCCGCATTCATTCTATGTATTCTTCTATTCTAGTATTTCTAGTTTCACACAAGATTCGGTAATTTCAGTATCAAAACGTAATCTATTTATCGACAGTACGAGGAATCAGGCAAGCATTCCAAAGGTCACAGCACAAAGGGAAGTCACGATATCCACAAAAAAGAAGAATACGAGAAGAAAGTCGAATTCTTCGAGGAAGAAGGAGATTCTGATGAAGAGGAGAAGCACGGCGGATATCATAACGAACGAGAACATAAAGGGGTGAGACGTAACACTAGAAATAAATAGCCTTCCAATCCTAATGGGCTAGACGCTTGTCGTAGTCATTTGATTCCCTAACCATAGACTGTCGTGTGTTCCCGAACACTTGACAACAGTCAGATCGTACATTTCATTCTTCAACATATTAATAATTTTCAACATTTAAATTTTAAGGTTGAAGAGTAAGGTTGTCGTTATGTTGTACAGCGCAGCGACAAGCTTAAGTTGTAAGCTCGTCTGTTTGAGGAGTCCTTGAGTTTTAAGATGAGCAGCGTCTCCGGTGGCTCCCGAGGCCCTAAATATCAAGAGAACTCGTCTGCAACAAAATTACCCGTGAACCCACAATAATTAGAAATCTGAGTCTCCGATCGACTCTGGGCGTCACGAATCGCGCCTCAACATTTTTTCATCGACCACGACCATCGTCGACGAGATAAAAAACTGTAAATGATCTTCGCCCGGCCTTCACACTGTTACAAAACAAACACGGGTGGCGCAAAAACACCAGATGCTGGCTAGCGGCTACCGACCGCGCGAGTTTCATCACAATTCACAGCATCCATCTCAAACTGATTTGTAACTGGTGTTTCATCAAACGCTTGAAAAGCGTTTTAAAATGTATGAAATTAGTCTTTTTGACATTTGTCGATAAAAAGATTTCATTGAAGCTGCCGGTGGATCCAATCGAGAGATAATGAGGAACCTTGCTACATTCTCAATCAATATGACAATGGATATATTTTGTATTGATTTGTGATTACTCAAACGATGGAGTGGACTTGTAAGGGATCACTGTTCCCGTCCGAGCGTGACTGGAATGGCCCCTTAGGCTACCAGCGACTCGGTAGAGAAAAAAAAAGATGACTGTTATTGACTGGAGGATTCAGGGAGTTCATTATATGTACTAGTCTCCGACTAGATCTGTAGTGAATGTTGTCTTAGTTATCTCAAGGTGGGTGGCGCGCTTACGTTGTAGATGTCTATGGGCTCCAGTAACCACTTAACACCAGGTGGGCTGTGAGCTCGTCCACACATCTAAGCAATAAAAAATAAAAATAAAAAGTTTTATAGTCTACGAGACGCAAGGCGGCCATTACATTCCATAGAAATACTATCACTGTAGTTAAAGCAACGGAGTTAAGAAAATTTCAAACAAACATATTTAATTATGAAAAGCTCAGAGCTTAACTCGAACTTAGTAGAGATAACAGGAAAACTAAGGAAATATCCGGATGCATAAAGTTTTATGATAACGTTATTTAGTTTTTCTTGGCAATGTTTATCGTGAAGCAACCAAGGGCTAGTTATATAACCACAGAGATGGAGATCAGCGGCTGCCCTTCCCTTCTGGTTGGACCCCACACGCACTATGCACTTGCACGTAGTTTGTGTGTCCATCCAAATGTAAGGTCATACAGTAAACGAAGCGAAAAACATTCGAGAAATACCATAAACAAAATCAAGCCTATAGTGTCTATGTATCACCTACAGACGGTCCGTAACTTGTACATGGTCGAATGTAATTTATAATATAAACGCGTGAGACCGATTTTTGATCTCAGCTTTAACAATTTCGAAATATATTTTTTAAATATCTTAATAGCGAAGGATTATTGTACAGTTGGCGGTAGGAACACTCTGTGGGTTGGCAATTGAGCGCCAGACAGCTAACAGCACTGAACTGGTGATCGGTCGCTGTTCAGGAATGAGGACCTGATTTTGCTTTGCATATTATTAATGACTGCAGCGCGACAAGCGGGAAGCAGGGGTCGCTCGAGTATACCCAGCTCGCCTGTCCATGAATCAAAAGGTTTTCTAATTCGAGCAGGATACAGGCTCTTTCAAAACGGAATGCAGTGTACGGATGAGAACACTATCCTTTGGCGGTCGGGTCGTAATCCCGTCGGGATCAATAGGAAACACTTATCACGTTAACCTCCGGTCACTGCTCGGAGGCTGGGTCACGGTTTCGAATTCCACTCACGTTATATTTTCTACCAGGGCGGTCACTTCAAGAAGGGTGACGCGGCTGCCGGGCACCAACACCACTCAACGGGCAAGGGCGGCCACTTCGGGAAGGGAGGTCATGAGCACGCACATAAGGTAACAGTGTTTAAATATAGTCTGGAACTTTTCCAGTGATGGTACTTCCTTTATACGTGTTACATAATCACCTGTAAAACTATACACCGATACTTACCTTAACACGTTGAACGCCACTGGTTGGGCCTAGCGTACTGTACCATTCGGGCTGAACCAAAATCAGGGAGTCAGTAATTTTTATCAACTTGAGATTTTCATTCGAAAATTTATAAATGCGATTATTTGCACCGAAGATTAGCGACTTTTGCCATCTAGTTTTTAAGATATTTTATTAGGCTATTAATCTTGATGAAAACTACAAGTTTCTATTGGATTTGAGAACCACGCTGTTCGGTTCGGCCCAAGGGCCCCGCGGTTCACTTCCATACGCGTTCTGTTTGATACATAGCTGCAATCTGTGGCTTGTACGAAGCGCTTATGTTGGAACCCGCACGCGGCTCACGGGTCACCCTCAAGGCCTGAATGGTTCAGTAAGGTATGGCTCACTGGTGAACACCGTGGACAGAATGAAAACGACCTGATGGTAGGACCTCTTATGAGTCCGCACGGGTAGGTATCACCACCCTGCCTATTTCTGACGGCAAAGCAGTAATGCGTTTCGGTTTAAATGGTAGGGTAGCCATTGTAACTATACTGAGACCTTTAGAACTTATATCTCAAGGTGGGTGGTGCATTTAGGTTGTGGATGTCTATGGGCTCCAGTTGAAGTATCAATCGTATTGTATTATGAGCAGCTGGATGGATTCATCCAAACCCAACGCATGACTGCTTCACGGTAGATTTGGACAATTTGGTGGAACCCACCCGTGCGCCCTTAAAACACGCCCTTCTATCCATAAATGGCAATCGGTGGTCGCGTTACGCAGGTATAGTATTCAGAAAATGGTTCGGTGGTAGCTCCGGTTTATTCCCCTGTCGTCGGGAAGAGATGGGGTGGTGCTGTTGTAGGCCGCAACTTAACCAAAAAACTGAATCAGGACTAAACTACTAAATTCTCCATATTTCCAGGGTCACAAATCCGCCGCCGGCCACGACCACCACGGGAAACATGGAAACGATCACTTCCAGAAAGGCGGAAAAGAGGGCAGCAAGAAATGGGTGTACCATCATGGACATCCAGCCAAGACGGCGAATTTGGTCCTTGTCGACAAAAGAGCGGATAGGTACTTCCATGGACCTCAGTATTATGGTTGAATTTAGCACTTTAGATCAAAATTCACTTGTCTATTTTATCATATCACTTGCGCTGGTTATTAAATTGATGTAATAGTATTTTTATATGTCATAGATTTAAGGTTGAAAATTCAGTGAATTAGGTTTTTGTACTGAGCATCAAGCTAACTTTAGTGTAATACCTTGTAACTAGTGCTGGCTCAGAGCTGTTATTTCAATTATCTAAATGTTATGCACAGTATAAAATTCAGAAGACATAAAATTAAAGAATTAAAATTGTTCGACCATCAATCCAATTGCTTTACGGGTTTGGATCGTTTTCACCTGACGTTGAGAAGTGAATCCTTTATTAGTTTGACCTATTGGAAGAACAGCCTGTCGACGACAAGTACTGAATTCGTAGGCTTAGCTCTAAGTGTGACTAAATAATGAAGCTTTTTTTTATAAATTGGTAATTCTCAAAGTCGATTTTTGTAACACTTCATTTAGTTTGTAATTGTATTCAAAAAGCCATTAAGTCTTGGAGTTTACGAGGTATATTAATTAGTTTATAGTTTATGTATGCGCTGGTTTCATGAGATATTTATTCATCGGACATCGAACCTCGGGGTCGTGCCTTCAATGTCACATCAATATATATACACATATGTAAGTTCTCCGATATTTCGAAACTAATATGTACCTAATAGAAAATAAAAACTGTGATCGATTTTCATAGTTTAAAATTGTCGGAATTTCGAGCATTTAATATCTACTACTTTTCTACGCAGTTTAATCTACACAATTAAATGTATATTTGCGTTGATAACGCTTTTATTAAAGTTTTATGAAAATTTTTAGACACCTGTGTTCAGTTCACTCTGCGCAAGGAGAATCTTGTAATTTGTAAATAATCTCATTCGTAATGTTATGTGTTTATTGTTTAGTTTTTTTAAAATAAATCTTTACTGAAAACATAGCTTTTAATCTAAATTGGGAAGGCTTGATCCTGGGAAATATTTAATTACGAAATAATATGTCGGAACATTAAGACGCCTTCTTGATAACGCGACAGGAACCGACATCTGATGCCACCGAAATTAGTTACATTTAAGACGATCGTTCGCTGGAATAGTTCTTACGGCGCCATCTCCTCAAACGAAGGTCGGTGTTGTACCGATGCAAGGCTCTTAAACAAGATATTCTTTTCTCCCTGTTCTCACCATCTTGTATCTTATACATACATATATTTTACTTGTATCTTCGCGTGTTGGTGGATATAAAAACCACTGACTTAATAAATCCCTGCGTAGAGAAATGCGACACCGTAGTAAAAAAATTCATGAAAAGATTCTCATCACCGCGCGAAATTCAATTTTATCCATTTTTAATATCAAGTTTCGACACGACGCAAACAAATGTCTTCGACGGCTATTTGGCTTAAGCGACATTATTGCGACATTACAGGAGAGACATTTAAAGTTTAAAATTTTTTTTAAAATATAGCAAGTTGAACTTCTTCAGCTATTTCAATGTGGTAAACATAATTGAAGTTTAATTTAAAAAATCAAACTGTCGATATTAATCACTACATAGTATAAAACAAAGTCGCTTTCTGTCCCTATATCTGTCTCTCCCTATGTATGCTTAAATCTTTAAAACTACGCAACGGATTTTGATGCGGTTTTTTTTATAGATAGAGTGATTGAAGAGGAAGGTGTATGTGTATAATAACATCCATTAAATAGTAGAGAAATCAATAATCAATTACAGTTTTCGAAGCGAAGCGAGTGCGGGTCGCTAGTAACAAATAAACCGGACCTTTAATTACAAAGATAAATGTCGCGTATTAAGCGAAATGTCGCTTAAACCAAATATCGTGTCACCTCTCGACTTCTATTTTCAACAACCAAAGTTTTTACCCAAAAAAGAAAAGGGTGTTTGCGTTTTTATCTAATGCCTGGGTTTTGCCTGCCAGTATTCATTATTTTTTCCTTTCGTATAGAATGTACCGCTTTATTGCAGTTACTATTTACTGAACACCCCTCGTATATATGTACATATTCAACCTCTGTAAGTGCTGACGTTTAGTAGTTGTTGGTAATATACCTACTGACATGAGCTTGGGATGAGTTTTTTAATAGTCGCCGACTGGACTGTCGGTGTCAGCTTATAACGAAAAAACTCCATTTTAAGACATCACTCCGAAAAGGTGAGGACAAGTAGAAAATAAATTATCAATGACATACGCCCTGTAATCAATAACACTTGACTTTATCAGATACCTGGAGATCAAAGAATAACTGGCAAAGAATATATACGTCAAGAGAGTCAGTTTGGTGAAACCATCGGCATTCACTGAGATAGGGAGACTGGCCCACAACCTGTGTGCTTGTTACCAGTGCCGATGGACAGCATTACCTATCATCGTTATATTTCAAACAGTAGAATGGTCGAGCCTCAATGTAGTCCATATTACCGCTAACACCCTATCGCCAAACATTGTCCACACCGGTCTCTATGAGTGTCCACAGAAACACACTACAGGGAACATTTCATACATGGGCATCTACATATTGTATATATACAGTACTATTTTACAAAAGATAACATGTGATCAACACCGTTCGTGTGCAAGGACACTTTATTTTATGATCCTGCGTTATCTCATATTCACATCCAGCTCCCACAGCTGTGCACGACCGACCTACCTATTAGTATCAACAAATATTCACAATTATGTGAGACAGGATATCTCCCACTCAGTCAACTGTTCCTTGAGCCACCTCTCTCTACGTCAGCTAAATAATAATAAAACACTTTAGGTTAAAATGTCCTTCTGTAGGTAACGCTCTGTGCGTCGTCGTACCCTGCCCCGGTGATCGATTCTCCATCAGTCAGTGTCCACTGAGCCAAGCGGGAGGGGACTAACTCGCTTCTGATATTTCTGGAATTCATCAAAACTCATGATTAAACTTGTCAAGTTTTTCTCCGGATTCGTTTTGTTTTCGGCGGACAATTTGCAGAGCCCCACCCCTCGTGACGGGGGCGGGGGAGGTCGATTATGATAAAACAATTTGTCTTGGTAGGTAATAACAGATATTTTTTTATGAAGTTTGGGACATATAAATGTTAAACAAATAATGGTAAAAGTACTTTACAATCCACCGTGTGAGCAAGAATACGCTCCCACGTCTCGGAGACGCAGTTCCAATGTATAGTTAACAATAAAATAAAACCTACACCTACTGCCATCACTTATTTAAAAGTGGCAATAAACAGAGACAAATAGAGCTGACGCAGATCTGCAGGAGCAGCGGAATTTGAACCGGCCGCAGCAGGTGCGCTCGTACAGTACTGTGGTCTCCTAACCCCCCACTATTAGCACTTTAGCTGATTTTGCCATTACAACGGAACAAAAATAAGCTGTCACACGAGCTTCCTTGCAACAAAACTCCGAAGTTTTTAGCAAAATGTGTAATACGATACGTGGAAAAGTGGTTGTTGGAAAAGAGGCTCTTTATGTATGCTCACGACGGCGCGTGGCGGGTACGCGTTTATGAAGATGGATGGAGTTTTGTTACCTGTTGCCAACAACGAACAAAACATGGATATTCCACTCAGCACGGCCTAAACAATAAGACGTGTGCTCGCATCACGCGACGCGACTGGTCAAGGCTCACAGACGGGTATCAATTCTAAGGAATACGTGAGTAGACGAACGCACTTACCCGCTTACACGACCGTCTTTCACGATGAAGGAATAAAGGATAAACAATGTAAGAGAAATGAAATCACCAAAGTATAATTTGCGAGCCGGTAGTGGTAGGTACCGCCACTCTGCCTAGTCCTGTTGTGACGCGTTCTGGGTTTGAAGAATAGCGTCGAACACATTACACTGATACTTAAGGCTTGTGTCTCAAAGTACGTGGCATGAGGTGGACCATGAGATCGTTCACGCATCACTGTAAAAAAAGTCTAAACGATTCTCCAGGACCAAGGAGTAAGTCAATAATCATTGTTCTAAAGCAAATAGTGTGCGCCGAAAATAAGCGGTAACAAAAAATGCTACAACATCAGTGATTTAAAACTAATGCGGGCGGCGGGCGCAGCGCGGCCTCGTGTGCTCGTATTGAGACCAACATAACAATGTTTGTAAAAACTTGAGCGCGTCGCGTACTGTGCTCCTCATTCACTGGTAGCGACTGCAGACTGAACACAGCCACACCGCATTAACTGTCTCACAATGAGGCAGAGGTACGGCGCTTTCAGGCATATCAATGTGTCTCGTACGTAATAAATATCAGTTTGAATACAGAAAGGTCAGTTCACCGTCACGCTACGTTCTACTCATCACTTCAATTTTCTAGCTCGCTACAACATTTTTTTCCTACCTATGCTGATAGCCTTGAGAGGCTATTTCAGCTTCGCCCTAACATGTAGGTGAGCTGACGGGCCTCAAACCGGAGTGTTGCTAACACTGGCCCTAGCAAGAGCAGTGCTTCGCAGAATGTACCACCGGATCGGAAACGCGACCCACTGAGAAGATCCGGCGAGAAACTCAGTGGGCTGTGTCTATGGATTAATTCGCTCGTCGAGCCCTTCGTCGCAAGCGACGGGTTCGACAAGGACGGTGACCGGTGCTTGTGGTGCCTAAAAGCACCGTTAAGGGATCGGGAGGATCTGTAATGACGTGTTTTGGGTGACCCATTCGGTCTACAGGATCGGGTGTATAATTCCCAGCGGCCACGACAAGAGGGTTCTCATGTCGTGCCGCCTTTTCAAAGTATCTCCTGAGCGCAAGTCACCCCAACAATACGTTGGAGAGACTACGGCGATGTTCTACACACGGTGTGTTGCACAAAGAATCTGTCCCATATCCCACTAACTAAATACTTTTTGCCGCTTATGTTCTGTACAGGAACAGAGCACAACACGTGCCGTCTACGAACAAGTGACACACAAAAGTTGTTGCAAGTTATTGTAGAGTATTGTGGCGACGGTACACGACGCGCTCGCCTTGTTGTTCCGCGGGACGTACGGACACCGTGATAAACACCTACTTTATTGGAAACTAAAATATGATACACGTTTTTAAAGACACCTGTTAAAATAATGGCATCGATTATACGAGTATTATACCTTAACACATAAAT